TTCTCCAGGGATCTCAGAAGCTGGAAGAATAAAGAGTTTGTACAACTCAGTTGTGGTTGAATCTACTAGCGGATCTGGGGTTCCTGTTGATGAAGGTAAAGGGAATATGCTTGAAATATCTTTGGTGCCAGAAGAGAGTAAACAAAACTATCCTGAGAAAATGTCTCAGCAACATCAACTTTCAAAGATCAAGTCATCAAACCACAGTGCACATTCTTCTCCTCGATCTGTGGCAACGCTACCTGCACCAAGCAAAGTTGTAAATCAAGAGTCGAAAATGGAGGCGGAGGTCCTACCGAAAGACTTAGCACCTAAATCTTCTGTATCTCATTCTAATACTGATGGCAAAGTGCTAGAGTTGGGCAAAAATGTTTCTTCATCCACTAAATTAGCAAATAAAGCAGTGTCACCAAAGTGTGGCCGCAAAGGCAAGTTGCATGCTGTACCTTCTTCTGGCTCAATCAACAGCAACAGAGTAGGCAAATTAACAAGAAATGGCTCACGGATAGTCAAGCCGGTGCTCAGGAGTAAGGGCTGTGTTAAAAAGAAAATAAGGCATGGCTCAGGTGCTGCTACATACCCAGCGAAGACATATAAAGAAGTTGGGAGTGCCTTGGATAGTAGTGAAGGGCAACTGGTTTGCCAGAGGTGTCAATGTGCTTTGAACAATGCTTGTAAAGAAATCAATCAAGAGTCTGTTGCATCTCACCCAATCAGTTATAATGCTGAAGCAGGCAATCAGAATTTGAAATCTGGTGTAGGGAAACCAGGCCTCTCTCCAGATGACTGCAATAGAAACAGAGCAGTAGCGCAGAAGGTAACAAAGAAACCAAAATCAAAAGAAAAGGGTGAATTTTCCCAAAGCTCTAAAAGTAGCCTTGGGGAGCATAGCAGTAGTACTAGCATAAGCGATGAAAGCAATATGAGTGGGTCGAGTTGTGGCAACAGACCCCATATGTCAAAGGATGTTAGGTGGGAAGCAATTCGCCATGCTAGGATGCAGCATGGAGTCTTAGGTTTGAGACATTTCAATCTTCTGAAGAAGCTCGGGATGTGGAGATATAGGGACTGTCTATCTCGCTGAGCTGATTGGTACAAACTGCCTCTTTGCTATAAAGGTCATGGATAATGAATTTCTTGGCTAGGAGGAAGAAGACACCGAGGGCCCAAACAGAAAGAGAAATACTTAGAATGCTAGATCATCCTTTTCTCCCTACACTATATGCTCAATTTACATCAGATAATTTATCATGTTTAGTTATGGAGTATTGTCCTGGTGGAGATTTGCATGTCCTTCGGCAGAAGCAACTTGGTAGGAGTTTCTCTGAACCGGCAGCAAGGTCAGATGATGGTCATTCTTTAATCAATTTTTTGCATTTAGTCACTCTTGTAGTTTGAACACTTGCATGCATAACTGAGAATGTTTGAAGAAGTGAATGGATGATGATGGTTTGGGTTTGGAGCAGATTTTGCAACCTGAACTTGGCCTAGTATATAAACCCAATTACAAAATATATATTATGTATTTAAAATTAAATTAGGAAATGTTTTAATTTAAAAGACAGATATCCTATATTTAATCAAAATTTTAAATATATAACTGGGTTGGATTCAAAATGGTTTCTCTTCTAGACCTGACAGCATCTGCTTCAATTTAAAATTAACCTGAGGCTTGTTGTTTCCTTTCTAAAAATGAAGATGGATCTTTCTAGGTCTGTCATGGCCACTACTTTTCCTATGGTTAGTTGTAATCTGATCTTGCTCATATTTACAGTGCGGATGTCAAATTTATAAAAATTATTTCTGAAATTATTTTGCCATCTAGATGTAAAAATAATTAGATTCTAAATTAGTTTAGCAAAGTTTGACAATGTAATTTTCCTGACTTGCAAAATCAGAAAATTTGTCTGTTGGTTTCTGCTGACAAGTCGGGATGTAGTGTCAGGTCCAATCATGTAGAGCAATAAAGAATTGGCTACCAACTCATTAGTGGGTCATGGGTTAAATGAGGTGCTTTTCTTTTTGGGGTGGGGTTTGAGGCTGGGATTTGCCCATTGTTCCTAGGCTCAAGCGATATTTTGTCACCGAGAAAAACTATGTTTTGGGCACAAGGAGACCCATGATGTAAATCTCATAGATGCTCTCGTTTCTTGCTGGTTAACCCTGGTTTTGGTTGTTCCTCTTTAATTTGCAGTCTAACTAGTTTTTTTTTTTCCCAAAGCATTCTAGCTAATTGCAAAAAAAGAGAAACTTTTCTGGAAGATACCTTTCTGCGCATTGCATCTTGCCAGTATGTCACTGTAGTTCAATTTTCTGCACTGTGCTCATTAATGGGTTAGATGAGGTGCTTTTGTTTTTGGATTTGGGGTTTGGGGCTTGGGCTTTACCCTTTGGTTAGAGATCTTAGTTTCCAAGTTCACATGACGCTGTTCTCTTGCTGAAAGAGACTGCATTGCAGCGTGTGGACCCATGATGTAAATCTCATCTATGTTCTTGGTGATTGACTGTGTTTTCTTTTCTCTTTTTAATTTGCATTCTCACTAATTGCAAAGAGAAAATTTTTTCTGGAAAATATCTTTTGAGCACATCTTGCTGATGCCTCAGTGTGCAATTTTCTGGACTATGCTGATCTCATGCCTCCTGTTTCCATCACTATCGTGTGTGCTGAAATCTGATGTGACAATAGTTGCCCGTTTAGTGGGATTTTTTCATGATTGATAATTTAACCTCTTACATTATTATCTATTTTGTTTGTAAGGTATCTGACCATCTTTAAACTAATAAGAAGTTGCTGTATTTGCAGATTTTATGTTGCGGAAGTCCTCCTTGCTTTGGAATACTTGCATATGCTTGGAGTCATCTACCGGGATTTGAAGCCAGAAAACATTTTGGTCCGAGAAGATGGTCACATTATGCTTACAGATTTTGACCTGTCTCTCAGATGCACTGTCAGTCCAACTCTCCTGAAATCATCTCCATCTAGGGGGGATCCTGCAAGAATTTCTGGTCCCTGCACTGAGTCCAACTGCATAGAGCCTTTTTGTATTGAACCATCCTGTCAAGTCCCATGCTTCAGCCCCAGGTTTTTACCTGCTGCTGCAAAAAACAGGAAGTTAAAAAATGACCTTGCAGCTCAAGTCAGATCATTGCCACAGCTTGTGGCTGAGCCGACTGATGCACGTTCCAATTCCTTTGTTGGAACTCATGAGTACTTAGCTCCTGAGATCATCAAAGGAGAGGGTCATGGAGCAGCAGTTGATTGGTGGACATTTGGCATCTTCCTTTATGAGCTTTTATATGGTAGAACACCATTTAAAGGTGCTGGGAACGAAGAAACACTGGCCAATGTGGTTTTGCAGAGCCTCAAGTTTCCAGATAGTCCTCTTGTTAGTTTTCAGGCAAGGGATCTTATTAGAGGATTGTTGGTTAAGGAACCAGAGAATCGGCTGGGAACTGAGAAAGGGGCTGCTGAGATAAAGCAGCATCCGTTCTTCGAAGGCTTGAATTGGGCACTAATTCGTTGTGCCATTCCACCCGAACTACCAGATTTTTATGAATTTGGAATTTCATCTCAGGAAAGCCAGAGCAAGTACTTGGAATATAATGCGATGGGAGAGCATCTTGAGTTTGAGTTGTTCTAGTGAGAAAATACTGTACCATTAGGGGGAAGAGCCTCAAGCGAAGAAGCACCCTTCAAACTTAGGCTATCATCTTCTGTTGTAACTAAATGTTTAGCTTATAATGTAAATTAATTGGAAAATTTGTGCCAGGGCTGTCAGTCAGATTTTAGCATTTTGCACCTTGTGATGCTCTTTTGAGCACAATGTGCCACGCCACATCAATATTAGCTCCTTGGTAAACATGGCACGTTTCCCCATAAAACTCTGCACATATTTTCTGTATGCTTCTGCCATACGCTTCTTTTGTTCTCTCTTTACTGCGAAATGGTCAATCATTTAGGCAAATCCCATTTGAAATATGGACTGTGAGGCTGATCCATTTTATTTGGTTTGGCGTTTAATATATTTTCATATTAGTGTTTAATAACATTATCTAATACTAAAATCGTATGTTAATATTTTTCAATTAGTTAGTGTTAGAAAACGAGTATGAACTGATAACTCAAACTATATTATTTTGATAAATTATTTACACGTGCTCGAACTATCCAGTAAGTTCGCAGCATATAATTGTTAACCGGGATCAGACCCGGAAATGAGAGGCCTGCCTGTCGGCCCACCCGCTTGCTTAATGAGGACGAGTAAAACGCAACGTTTTAAAGGCACGAGGCATTCTTCATTCGAGCCAAACGCTTTCTTCGGTTTTTTCTTGCATTCTCTCTATCCTTCCTCGTACGCGAAGCAGGAACTCACTTCATAGTTTCAATGGCGTCAAGCTCACTCGATAATTTCATTCTCGTCGTCTGCACTGATCATAATTCGATCCAACCTAATAGCACAGATTGGAAAATCTGCATTTCAACTGAGGATATTCATAGCTGGGATTTGACTAAAATTCTCCGTTACCGAACAATTGAAGTTCAAGCCAATCGAGAAAGGCAAGAGGAGTTTCATTCCTAATCCTTCATTGCAATTTTTTGTTTCTTGTATTTCAAGTTAATCGTCTATGTCTAAATTCCTTTTTACAGGCTAATTGAAAGATCTTCATATTTCCATGGCCTCCTAAGTGGAAGCTTCAGGTTCTTCGTCGTCTCTGATTGTCTGTGAACATTTCAATCGGATTGCTAGTTGAATGTTATCGTATTTGGTTATTTAGTTTTTTTTAGTTATTTTAAATAGTACTGGTGGTCGGGAGATGACAAAATGTCGTATTCATTTATCTCTTTTCTTTTTGCTCAATTCCTCTCTTGTGTCTGAGAAAACTGGGGAGATAGTGGATAATAAATAAAAGAAATCTCATCGAATTGATAAGTTTGAACTTGGTGGAGCTTTGAATTAGTATTTGTAAAACCCTGCTATTAAAACAAACATTTTCTTGGCAAGCAATTGGAGCATTTCCTTTTTTCCAATCTAACTTAGTTTGTAATTGGATGTAATCAGACCAAAAATTTGTGATGATATTTTAACATAAATGTGTTTTACTATTCTATGTTTCACCTTTTTAATTACTCTTTTTCTGGTCACTTGTTGCTTTCTGAATTGCTTACAACTCATGCAGCGAAGCCTGCCTCAATTGTATTTCAATCCAGTGGAACCTGGAGACCTTTTTGAATGTCTTGAGGTGTATCTATGATTGCATATTGAATATTACACCTGATAACTTCCTCTCTCTTTTTGAGGTAAACAATTACGTAATGTTTACACCAAATCCATTAATAAAATACTAGTTTGTAATTTGTTGATCATAATGAGGTCATCTTTCTTTTTTCCCTTGAGTGAACTGAGAGAAGGCTACCCAAAATGTTGTTAGCTTTCTGGAAAAATTTTAAGCTAGTAACTGAAAGCCTCTTTTATGTTACCATTTAGCATTAATTTTCCTGATTCTATTGTTATTGAGCTAAAATCTTCCAAGTACAGGGGTTGAAATATTTTAAAAAGGGGGTATTATCATGTGACTGTAATGTCATATCCGATAAAAAAAAAGGGTTACTGTATACTTATGTGAACAGGGTCAATGAGTGATAAAAAAAAAAGGGTTGCAAGTGACCGTCTTTGCACTTGGGGGGGGCGGGGGGGCGCTTAAGGTCTCCCCAAGTGGGAGAGTCTATTCATAATTTGTGGTAGTGGGGGCTTGGGCTTGCACAGCCCCTACTGTTATTTTTCTCTCCAAAGTTCACAGGAGGTTATGGAGTTGATCTCATGATCTCAGTCTGTAAAATATCTTATAAGTGCAGTTTTCTCTTGGGTTTGGATATATAGGTATATTAATACTAACATCAAACTAAATAATGTCAATGTGGCACCTTCAGTGTTGTATGCCATGGTCATAGTCTAATATATCATTGATTGAAAAGCACAAGATGTGGTGCTCTTGTCTCTTCTGTTATGAAGCATGTTGCCAGTGGTCTTAAACAGCTGAAAGCACATAGCTATTGTTCACTAAATCAGACTGACTATAAATATATGCTGTTAAACTTTGTATTTAATTTTCAGGGTTCACTTTATTTTGGAGTGGAGAAGCTTCTTTCAAAGTGTAAAACTTGGTTTTTCGAGGCAACTTCATTGAAGGGGCTACTGCAAATAGAACTGGATGATTTGATTCATATTTGGAACTTTGGTTTAGAGCATGGTAAGGTTTGATATTTTGAAGACTTCCAGAGATAAAGTATCTATAAAGTGACTTTTTTAAAAAAAGTTTGGCGTGAACCTCTCTAATAGCTCATTTGGAATGTTATGCAGCAAATGATTTTGTTCCAGAGTTGTGTGCAAGCTATCTTGCAAGAAATTTTGTATGTGCTTGACTTCCATTTACATGTTGGGTATTTCACCATTCAAACACTCTAATTCTCTTATTAAAGTTTTCTGCATTATGAAGTTGTTGGTTCAATGACTAGTTTTTCTTGAAAATTTCATTTGTTTGATGTTGAAATTAAAGTACATTTAGTTCCGTGCCCGCAGTGAAGAATTTACTTGTCTATTAGGGAGATGTCAAATGAAAACCAGATTTGTTGAACTGTTAAGGAAATTGAATTTGAAGATTTACTTTGTGTCTCAGTGATATGTATATTCTATCATAACCTACAAATGGGTCTCTCAATATGCTATTTTCTTATGCAGTTTTATGCTGCTGGTATGAACTTTTTGATTTGTTGGATCAATGAACCTTTTCCATGCTTGAGCTGAAATCTAAAACAAAAGAATCAACCAGATGACTTATTAAAAGGCGCATACAAAAAAAATTTTGAGTGTGTCTGTAATTTAGCCAAGAAGAATAAGATATAGATGCCGTAGAAGTAACGAGCCTTCAGTTCACAGGATTGAATATAATAGTCATTTGTTCTTGACAGTGGAATGATTTGGAAGATTTGGATATGATCGTCATTTTTTCTTGACTATGAAATGACTTGGAAGATTCAGAATAGATTTTCTTTTTGGTGTTTTTGGGTCTGTCCTCCTGATTTAGAGATTTTCATTTCTACCTCTTTGTATGCATTCAAGCGAACAAGGATCATGAGATATTTTGAAGGGGCAATATTTGCTGGATTATGGGTCCTTTAGTTGGATAGAAATCTGAAAATATTTTGGATAAGGTCTCAATTGCTTAATAAATTTGGGAGACTTTCTTCTCTTGTGGTCAAAATGGATGGTTTCTTTTGGGGGATTTTCTTTTTATCACACGCTACACAGGAAATGGGATAATATTTTGATGTACACAGGATTTCTTTTGTTTCTAACTCTTTTGAAGAATAGCTGATACTCCTCTCAATTGTGTTTTTTCTCTTTTTTTTCATAGTACTAATTTTATTAAAGAAATAAAAGTTTGGTGTCTTTTGCAAGAATTATTTTATCACAGTACTGGAACCTGTTTCTGTTGGTGGAAAATTAACTAATGGTGGTCCATTTTCTGCAGATGTGGGCTGTGTCTAGTAAACATTTTCAAGATCTCCCATACAATTTGTTATTGCGTTGCATAAAGCACCCACATTTGACAGTAGAGAGGTAGGTTAAAAGTCCTTGAAATTCCTGATTCAATTATTTCGATGTGCAACACTTTTGTAACTCACATATCTGACTGATGTCTTGCAGTGAGATGCACCTCCTGAATGCACTCCTAACTTGGCGCAATGCTAACACAAAACAGTTGGAATGTTCGAGCACAACTCAAGATGAGTTCGAAGATATTTTGAAAAAGGTATAAATTCATGGACTACTACAAGGCTAACAATTACTGCAGAAGATGTCCATTCTCTAGGTTAAATCCTTGTTCTCATTCTTTAGCCTTACACCTCCTAACAAATGCGTTGCATAGGGAGGAGGTGGCCATTTAAGCAATTTCTTGACCCAGCAAAAAGAAAAAAGCTGGGTGACACCTTCAATAAAGAATGAACTCCTAAATAGATAAAATTGTTTCTTTACATGCAAGACATAGATAAGATGGATAATGTTCCCCCACATGCAAGAGACAGAAAACTTGACTGACTACGAATTACCTTTGTCCTTTAATGATAGAGGGGCCATATAATGAGCAAAATGGGAGAGTGAAAAATAGTGATCCACTGAGTAGAATGTGCCTCGGCACTTCCACACTTTTTGGTCGTCAGTTGTATTTAACATGGCGCAGTCACTGTCCAATTCTTATAAGGGCCGTGCAACTGGTTTTCTTGCACATGTCTCAGTCACGACAATGGGCTTCAGATGAATGACGCAACTCTATATTTTTTTATATGACAATAGCATACAGATACTGAAAGAGGAGATCGTTAAGAACGTTAACGAGGTAATCCATCTTACCCTCGAATGATGGATGGTCATTAGAATTGAGGTTATGCCACTGAACTATAAGCATTCACTGATATATAATAGTCACTAAGATTGAGGGAGAAGAAAGATAAGGAATTACAATGGAGTGAGCAAAAACTTACAGTACTGGCATAAACTTAACTGATTCAATAAACAAGCTACCGTGTTTATGATCATTGCCCAATTATCCTCAAAATGAGACAAAAAAATGCTAAGATAATCCCTTTCTCTTTAACAACAGAAAAACCTAATGAGTTTTATTTTAACTAATTAACATACTGATGTAAGAGTTATCTTCAAGTAACAGTATGAAGTTCTATCACTCAGTAACAGAGAAATAAACGGGTGCAAAAAAGTTTGGTTTTAGATTACCTTATAGTTATCTTTTTATAGTTGATCATTATCTAAGACAAAGGAGAAGCAGATTGGTTAAATGTGAATCTTTACTGTGTTTTGTCGTGAGAATACAGTGTTCTTTCTTTTCGCTTTATTTGATTATGATTTTTATTTGAAATATTTATTTTAATGTTCTACAGGTCCGCGTTAACCTTTTGCCAATTTGGTTTGCTGCAGGTAATTTTTGTGACTGCTGATGTCATGACAAGACATTTTTACATAATATTTTTGGTTATATCTGTTAATTCTAAGGGTTCAGCTTGGCTCATGTTTCAGGGAAAATAAGATCCCACAGTCTTTCTAATCTTGCCAAGGAGAGCATTGGCTCAATTATTAGATTAATAAGGACTCCTCCTACTGGCTTAATAAATCTTTTTGTAGACTATGACTTAGACTATCTCCGAATTCGGTTGACGGAATATTCTGAGGTATTTTTTCCTCTATTGCTGAAGTAGCTTGGAGATTGAGAAACCATACATTGAGTCTGCCACATAATTAAATATTTTGGGTAGAACTTAGGGCTTTATAACTTTGACATAGCACAACATTTTTGACATTTTTATCTGTGATTAGACAATCTATATGTGCAGAGGATCTGAAATTCTACTTCAAGACAGGTAGGGTGTCAATGAACTGACCCAAGCTGATAAGTTTAAACTATACATAATTAAGCTTGATAAACTTGATAAGTAGCTCTTCTAAAGACCTATCTATTTAATTTTTTTAAAAATATTTATGAATATATTCGAAATATAGTTAAGATACAATTGTTTCTAAAACATATTACATATACATATTTTGATAAAATATATAAAACCGTTTAATATATAAATAGATAAACAAACACATTCGCGAGTTTTTAAACCAAATAACTTCAGGCTCAAATTTAGCTTAATGCACCTTTTCTTAAGCTAACATTCAGGTGAATTTGAGTTGACTGAACTTGGATGAAATTTTATTGAGCTAAGTACAAATTGTTTACGAGCATGTTTGGTATGTTACCATTTCTAAACGCAAAGCATTCTTATATTCTTCTCTCCCTTCCTGCCCTCTTTATTAACCTTGGCTTATTTTATGCGCTAGTTGTTTGTGTACAAGGGGGCAGTATGTCCTTTTCCTTACAGCTGCTATACGTGCTGTTCTCAGGAGAAAAATTACCTAATATTGTCTGTCATAAACTTTTCTCTTTTGAGATGTCCAAAAGAGGTTGAGGTTGCTTTTTCTACCTTCTTATGCTTTCATTACCTTTTATCTATATATCCCCTACTTATTAGGTACTTAAATGTGCGAAGGGGCAAGCTGAATTGTTATAGTGTGCGGAATTTGTATACATTATGAATGAGAAGCCATGGTGATGTTTGATTTTCCAGCATTCATAAGTCATCTTAGAACCCACCTTGTTTGTCTTGATTTATATTGCACTTTCTTGTATGCCTATTATGTTTCTAAATTCTTTTTTATAACTTTTGCTCCCTGTGCAGAAACTAAACCTTTCAGGCTGTCCTCAGATAACATCTGCAGTCCTGTTCCTATCCGTGCTTCCTTCTTACCGTATGGACCCTACATTAAAGAATAGTATCAAACGAATATTGGTCAACCTTGAACAATATGACAAAGATCAAAGTCAAATCTCTAAGAGTTTGAACCTGACATTACGTTTTGAAGCAGTTCAAGAGATTAATATTTCCAAGTGCTCAAGGCTAAATATTGAAGCTGCCATCGAGTGCTTCTCCAAGTCATTTCCATCATTGATAACCCTAAAAGCTGCTTATCTTTTAAACTTTAAAATAACTACTTTGTGCAAACTAGTTGAGAAGTGCCCCTTTGTTAGTGAAGTTGATTTAGCTGTTGATATTAGTCCACTTATACCGGCACAAGTATCAGTTATATCCTCAAGTCTGGCAACAATGCAGCCTCTTCCAATCCCATCCTTAACTCTTGGTGTTGATCCTTTGACTTCTAGATTATGGGATAGTTCTAGACCATCACTATCAAGCCTCACAGTACTAAATTTAGAGGGCCGAAGTGATCTCAATGGTGAGATATGGTTTTGTTTGTTTACTGGTATACCTTTACTTCCATTTTATTGTTGCATTATTTACCGAGTAGAAGTTCATTATGTCCCAGTGAAATGGTAGGTTGCACATTTGTCAAACTTTCTGTCTACTTGATGATAATATCTGTATGCTTAAGCTTATTTTTAGTCCAATAACTTTAACTAGCCAATCTCTTCATGATAAGGGATCAGAAACTTTTAATGGACCATGGCATGGAATCAATAGGAGTTGACATCATTAATCTTGTACTACTTGGATGCATGTATTGCATATAAATCATGAATGACTATTTTTTTTTGTTTTTCTTACCATTTTACTAACAGTGTCTACTACTTATGTTTGTACCAGATTCAGATCTCTTGTTAATCTCAAAATTCTGTCTATCCTTACAGCACCTGAACATAAGAGGATGTATTTCAGCGACAGATGTCTGCATATCATATTTAATAAACAGAT